ACCCGGTCCCTCCCTGCAGCCCCACAAGCCACAGAACCTTACAGAAACAGGGAGAGCACCTGCTCTGACACAGCTGCTTGTCCCGGGATGCCTCCGAATTGAGGCACTTTCCTGCGGGAACAGGAACCTGATGCCGAGCTATCGAGTGCTCCTGACTTATGCAGGAGGAACCCGATGCTGCACTGTGAAGGGGCGATGTCAAAGGTGTCCATGCACCGAATCAGTCCCAAAAGAGCCCAAAATAGCTGCACCCACAAGCCGAGCATGACAGCAACAAAACCACAGTGAATGGATCCCAAAAAGCGAGCCTGTCCCGAAGCCCTGAGCCCAGCCTTCGGGAAAAGGGGCTGGATTTGCCCTTCCCGCACGAGGGAAGCCCCGGTGTCACCCTGCCATGTGGGGCTGCACAGCAGCAGCGGAGCTAAGCCGGTGACTTGCTGTAATCCTCTTATCCCCAAAGGTTAATGAGCCTGGAGTGCCCGGGAACAGGCACTTGCAGTGCAGCCGCCTCTCCCAAAGCACCCAGCAGCCACCCGAAAGCCTGGAGCTGATGGAGAGGCTGCATCCTTGACCGTGACTTGGACAGAGAGATGTGCTGGGGTCCTCAGGGCTGCCAGCACCTCCCAGTACAACCAAAGCGATGGTTTATTGACAGAAAGCAAAGTTCATCACACACCAGACAGTGACAAGCCGATGGTTTTGCAAGACAGGGCTTGGAGACGCACCTTGAGGCAAAGAGCTGCTTAAAGGGGTTGTTGCATCTTGTTGAGATCCCAAACCTGGATTTGCGCTGCCTGACTTGTGTGGGAGCAGCACGATGTGCTCATCCCAACCCATCACACTCCCCCCAACCCATCACACTCCCCCCAACCCATCAGTGGGATCCAGGCTCAGTCTTGAGCCCCACGGAGCTCTGAGGAGGCACAAGCCAGAGGGCAGACCCCCAGGAAAGGGAATGCTGTCCCACATCCCTGGGACAAGAGCTTGGCTGCCCTGGACTGCCTGGTACGATGGGACGAGGGCTGGGACCCAGCTGGCCTGTCCCAAAACCAGGCTGTAATTCCCATTGGTGCTGGTGGTTTTATGGCATTTATTGCCTATAATCTCATTACCAGCCAAAATCCAGCCTGGAAGCTGCTGGAGAGGCTGGTTTCATCCTTGGTGATTCAGCACAGAGGTTTCAACTGGGCCATTTCACATCCAGCACAGAGCAGGGGCAGCCCTGAGCCCACCCACAGCACTTCCACGACAGAGACACCACATCCAGCACGGGTCCAAATAAACCATGGTGGCACCAAACCAATGTCAATCCCTTGGGGCTGCTGGCCCCAAACCAGGAGGTTCGTGAAAGGGCAATGGTGGGACCAGGGATGGGCACAGGGTGATGCTGCAGCCTGGGACAGGCATGTCCCTGCTGGCTGCCTGGTGAAGCTGGGCTGTGGATGGCTCTGGAACAGGGACATTGACCCTGGACCAGACATCAGCAGCACATCTGGAGATGGGCAGGTCCCGGCTGTCACTGCCGACAGACAACCAAGCCCTGCCAAAACCTTCACGCAACGTGCAACCAGTTCCCCATCACCTCTGAGGAGCAGCACAGCCCCAGCCCCACCGGCGGGGGGGTCCAACCCCAAAACCTGCCCATCCGCGGGCTGTGGCACACACGGGTGCAGCCCCAGTGCCTCACTCACAGCCCTCACGTACCAAGCTGGTGACTAAAGCCAGGATCAAAGTGCCCAAATGAAGGAGCAGAGTTTACATCCACCCTTTCTTTCCAGGCTGCTTTTAATTATGGCGTGATCCTCCCCACCCACGGCTCCCCAGGGCCCTGGCATCCCGCAGGAACACAATCCCAGGAGGTGGATGCCGAGTCCCGGCACGACGCTGCGGCAGCAGGACATGGAGCTGGAAACCTCCCCAGTGAGGCGGTATGAGGGCTGCTGGATCAGCTGAACTGGGAACAGCAGCTCAGGAGTTCCCTTCCTAAGGCTTCTCCTTCCCAAATTCCACCAGGAAGCACCACTCAGCAGTCACACACGCGGTATTCCTGGCGGATCTGGAGCTCTTTGGGTTTTTAACCTTTTCACTCAAGAAAAGCAAGAACTGGCTGAAGAAAAGGGCAAGTTTTGCTGCCTGCTGCAGGTCAGCAGCTTCCCACCTCCCACATGCAGCCACTCCGAGGGGGATGCCAGCATCACAACACCTCAAAAAGCATTTTAAGGGGACCAGGTGACCTTCACATCACCTGGGATCACACAACCAGGGCCAGCAACCCCTGTCTGCACCCATGGGCATCACCCCGGCCTTCCCTGGGGGAAGGAGATGGGGCTCCTGGCGTCAGCAGCATCATGCTCCAGGATGATGTGAACCCTCAGCCACCAAAGGCATATGGAGGAGACATGCCTCTGGTGTCCCCATGATACAAAGGTGACCAGCAGCCATCTCCACAGCTGCTATAATTAGACAGAAAAGGCAAATCAATACCCACATGCTGACATTGGAAGAGTTTTGCTCTCACCCGAAGTGCTGCTATGGGAAACCACATCAGGATAACGCTCCTTTAGGACAGGTTTTCAGCAGTTTTGGGTGGTGAATGTGACCATCAACCAGTGAGCTCAGGGTTTAGATCCAATGGATCAGTTTTGACCAGTTTTGGATGGTGAATGTGACCATCGACGAGTGAGCTCAGGGTTTAGATCCAAGGGAGAGCGCCCACCCGCTCACCGTGTCCGCAGCTCTGCCCGTGGCATCCCTGTGACTGTGAGCACAGGACACAAATCCCACCCGCAAGCCCCAAGTGCCACGGAAGGGCAGAGGGAGGAGGGACACGCTCCCGCCCCGCGGGCACAGGCTGCCAAAAAGCCGCCGCGGCTCTTTATCAGCGGTGCCCGGTGGGACGGTGGAAGGAGACGTGTCCACAAGGAACCGGAATTGCCGGTTTTCTCGTGTTGCTCCCCAAACCCAACAGGATCCGCTTCCTACCCAGCCCGGCTGAGCAGCGCCGTGA